TAATAATCAGTTAATAATTAACCAATAACTAATAGCCAATTAATAATTAGTTAATAATTAATTCAAGCTAACCTCAAATTTGAGCTCCCATCCTCGATTACCTTTGGTCAAGTTTTAAGGAAGATAATCCCTTTTGTTTTCACATTATTCTTGGAACAATCATTAAAGTGCGGACACACAAGCCAGCAAGCAAGCAAACAATTTATTCTTGCTAGGCTCTTCTCTACGAGAAAGAGAATAAAATATCGTTATTTTCTCCAAAAAACCTTCTCTTGACCCTAAAAACTCAATTGAAAATTTTGAAAAACTCACTTGAGACTCGGATTCTTCGACCTCGATTTATATTCTCTCCGACGATGTTTTTTTGACTTCGATGTTCTTTAGACCCTGACACATACAACCGCATTCTATTTCATATGACCCTCCCTACAGTTGAGGGAATAAATACTTTAGTTACTTTACTTTAATAAATAGAAAATAGTAAATACTTGATTTACTTTACTTTAGTAAATAGTAAATACTTGATTTACTTTACTTTAGTAAATAGTAAATATTTTATTCACTTTACTTTAGTAAATAGTAAATATTTTATTCACTTTACTTTAGTAAATAGTAAATATTTTATTTACTTTACTTTAGTAAATAGTAAATACTTTATTTACTTTACTTTAGTAAATAGTAAATACTTTATTTACTATTTACTAGTAAAGTAAAGGTAAAGTCCCACCCCTACGCGGAACAAAAAGAGAACGTACCATTTTTTGCCTTGAATTTGCTTTTTTTACTGACGAAAGGACCTAGATACTTGTTGAATAACGTCTCATTTTTGTTAAAAAGTTAAAATTGTTGAAGAGGATCTAACATGTTTCATTTGGATAGATTCAATCTTGAATAGTGGTTTTTTTTTTACAATCGTTTGTTCACAGGAATCCCTGTGAATAAGAAGTAAGAATAGCCTGACCAAGAGACAATAGCTTAATCTTGATAATGGCGCAAGTAAACGTCAATGATCAAAAAATTAGGCATGCCTCGAAACCGAGTCTTTCCCGAGAGATTCAAGTTTGGAACTCAGGATTTCAGTCCGGATTTGAATTCGGGATTCGATTCAGCCTCGGGCACCCACACCCACCCACTTACCCACACCCAAGGGGGAAAAAGCTGATTTTTTTTATTTAAATCAGAAAAAAAATCAAAAAAATCAGAAAAATCAAAAGCATCAGAAAAATCAAAGAAAAATGGTTCAAAATCAAGAGTTTTCAATCTCTGTTTTTCAAGATACTTATTATTTGACTACATAATACAACTACCGAAAAGAGTTGAATCAGACGAGGCCTCTAGAGTTTCAAAAATCATAATCTAATTCGATTGGAATGCGAACTAACTTTGAATTTTGATTATTTTCGATAAGTTTATCGTACATATTGTCACGTCTAAATTTAAGACGCCTTGGTCGCCTTCAGAACGAAGAAAATGTTTTTGTCGCCACCCTATTAGAAATCCATAAAGTTCGATAGGGTTAAGTGTATTGATTTCTCCTTTAATGAATTTTTGAGTTGCTTAGATAATCAGAAAGATCTGAAGCAATTTGTGAAATTGTTGAAAAACAGTTTTTTAGTTGGAAGCCCATTTAAAGGCATCTTGAAT